AACCTCTGGCCCCGTGTCTCTGTTCCGGAGACCTCGCCTACCCTGCATTGGACGGGGGAGGTTGGCGATGCGTCGGTGTTCCGAGTCTGGGGATGTCGAGCCTTTGTCCACGATACGTCCACGGACAAGCTCTCCTCCCGTGCCGTTCCCTGTGTCTTCCTTGGCTTTGTCCCTGACGCGCCTGGCTGGCAGTTTTACCACCCCACCTCGCGTCGTGTCTTTGCCTCTCAGGACGTCACCTTTGACGAGTCGGTACCCTTTTACCGTCTCTTCCCCTACCGCACTGCCTCGCTCCCCCCCCCCCCGCCGCTCTTCCTCACCCCAGGTGTCCCGTCGGTAGACCCCCTCCCTCCCCAGGATGCTGGTCCCTCAGGTGTTTCTCAGGTAGACCCGGTCGAGTCTGTCGAGGTAGCTGTTGACTCTGGTCCTGCGCGAGGTGCTGAGCGTGCTGAGCCTGGTGGTGCTGGGTCTGGGGGTACTGAGACTGGGGGTGCTGAGCCTGGGGGTGCGGAGACTGGGGGTGCTGAGCCTGGGGGTGCGAAGACTGGGGGTGCTGAGCCTGGGGGTGCGGAGACTACGGGAGCAGAGACTGGGGGTGCTGAGCCTAGGGGTTCTGCGACTGGGAGTGCTGAGCCTAGAGGAGCTGAGGTTGGGATTTCTGAGACTGACCGTGCTGTGCTTGGTGGCGCTCCCTCTTCACAGCAGCTGCGTGAGTGGTACTCCCAGCGTTACAGCCTCCGTAGTGGGGCTACTGGAGCTGAGGGGGTCTGCTGGAGTTGGGGCTGGTGGCCCTGCGGGTGCAGTGTTGCGGCCGGAGCCTCCCTCCCCTCAGCAGCTGCGAGAGTGGTACGCTCGGCGTTGCAATCTCCGGAGTGGAGCTCCTGGTGTTGAGGTACCGCCCGCTGGAGGCCCTACTGCTGTTGGAGGTTCTGGCGCTGCTGGAGGTGCTGCTGGTGCTGGAGCTGCTGGTGGTGCTGCTTGTGCTGGTTCTGGTGGAGGTTCTGGAGCTGCTGGAGGTGCTGCAGGTGCTGGAGCTGCTGGAGGTGCTGCTGGTGCTGCTGGAGGCTCTGGAGCTGCTGGAGGTGCTGCTGGTGCTGGTGGAGGTTCTGGAGCTGCTGGAGGTGGTGCTGGTGCTGGTTCGTCTGGAGGTTCTGGTGTTGTCTCTACTCCTTCTGGGGGCACTTCACGGCCGCGGCCGTACTTCGTTTCGCTCCTTCCGCAGGTTCTTGGTCAGCCGCCTCCTCCTAGTCCTCCTCCCTCCTTAGAGTGTCCTCCGTCTGTCCAGTCGCAGTCACAGCTACCGCCTGCCTCGCCACTTCCTGGTCCTTCTCCCTACACTGGTCCGACAGGCGGTCTTACAGAGCGTCGTGAGCCTGAGTCTCGTCCTGTGTCGCCTGTGTCTCGTCCTGTGTCACCTGTTCGCGCACTGGTCGCCGTGCTCCGCGTGAGCGTCCTCCACCTGTCCCTGGCACACACTATATGACTCTGCGTCCTTCCACTGCTCCACAGCGTGTCCCTCTGCCGTCTCCTCCTGCGTCCTCTCTTCCTGTTCTTGCTGACCCGGAGTCTGACTCTCTTCGTGCTGCCAGTCCTACTGTCACGCGTCTCCTGGCCACTGCTGTCACTGACCCTTCCTTTGAGTCTGCTGCTGCATCTGGCTTAGTAGCTGAGCTTGTTGACTTTGCTGCTGCCTGTCGTCTAGACTACGCCACCAGTCTTGTTGCTGAGTCTGAGTCTGTCTGTCCTCCGTTCGTCCGGGGTGAGTGTGCTCTAGGCACGGACGTCCTTGAGGACAGACAGGAGGACCTTGAGTGTCTTGCAGCCGCTGCGCCTCATCTCGTGTCCATGCTGATTGCCCCTGAGGGAGACCCGGATGCTCCAGACATCCCGACCCCGCGCTCTTACGCTGAGGCGATCGCGGGTGAGTACTCCTCTCAGTGGCAGTCAGCCATGGATGCAGAGATGGCATCCTGGAAGTCCACTGGCACTTACGTCGACGAGGTTCCCCCTCCTCGGGCGAACATCGTCAGTGGCATGTGGATTTTCAGGGTGAAGCGGCCGCCGAGTTCTCCGCCTGTCTTCAAGGCGCGTTACGTTGCTCGAGGCTTCAGTCAGCGAGAGGGAGTAGACTTCTTTTAGACCTTCTCCCCCACCCCGAAGATGACCACTCTTCGGGTGCTACTGCACGTTGCTGCTCAGCGTGACTACGAGCTTCACTCTCTTGACTTCAGCACAACTTTCTTGCAGGTCAGCCTGCACGAGGAGATCTGGCTGCGCCGCCCTCCTGGCTTCACTGGGTCGTTTCCTCCTGGTACCGAGTGGAGCCTCCGGCGGCCAGTCTACGGTCTCCGCGAGGCGCCACGTGAGTGGCACGACACACTGAGGACTACTCTTGCGGCACTTGGGTTCACGCCTTCTACTGCTGACCCGTCGCTGTTTCTGCGCACCGACACTTCGCTGCCGCCGCTCTACATCCTCGTGTACGTCGACAACTTGGTCTTTGCCACTGCTAACACTGAGGCTCTCGCCCACGTGAAGTCCGAGCTGCAGAAGAGACACACGTGCACAGACCTGGGTGAACTGCGCAGCTACCTTGGCTTGCAGATCACCCGGGACAGAGCACGCCGCACCATCACACTGACTCAGTCACACATGGTGCAGCAGGTCCTTCAGCGCTTCGGCTTCACCTGGTCCTCAGCACAGGCCACTCCTCTGGCTATAGGTCACTCGCTCTCAGCTCTGCCTTCGGATGAGTCCGTAGAGCCGAGTGGTCCTTACCCAGAGCTATTTGGTTGCCTCATGTATCTGATGACTTGTACTCGTCCTAACCTAGCGTACCCTCTTGGCCTTCTGGCCCGTTACGTGGCTCCTGGTAGGCACCGAAAGGTGCACTGGGATGCTGCTAAGAGGGTATTGCGCTACTTGTGCAGTATATCGGGCATGGGGCTCGTGCTTAGAGGAGGGAGCCCAGTTGTTCTCACAGGGCACTCAGACGCTTCTTGGGTTGACGACCAGGCTACTCAGCGGTCGTCACAGGGTTACACCTTCAGTCTTGGCTCTGGCTCAGTTTCTTGGCGTTCTACACGTTCGTCCTCAGTTCTCAGCTCCAGTTGTGAGGCTGAGATCTACGCCATAGCCATGGCTGCATAGGAGCTACGCTGGCTCACCTACCTGCTGACCGACCTGGGAGAGCGGTCTCGTTCTGTACGTCGACAACAAGGCTGCCATTGCCTTGTGTGAGGAGCACAGACTGGAGCACAGAACGAAGCACATCGCTCTACGGTACTTTCTGGCTCAAGAGTTGCAGGAGCGTGGTCAGCTTCGTCTGCGTTACGTGGCCACACAGACCAACACTGCTGATATATTCACCAAGGCACTTCAGTCTGGTGATCATTAGCGTTTCTTCACTTTGTTAGGGCTTGTGCTCGCTTTTCCTCACTTGTTGTAGACTTTGCCTGTACTGTGATCTATATATATATACCTGCATGCTTGCTAGATATAGATCATTGTGATGCTTGTGCTACATATATGCCTTTGCATGTGAACTGGCCTTGTGGCCCTTTGCTTGTGCTCAGAGTGTGTGGTGACGTTGTGATCCACCCTGAGCTTGCTTTGCCTTTCTTGACTGGTCTTGTGACCCCTTGCTCTCCCCCACTTTGCCTATGGGGGTGTGTCAAACATTATACCGTATATGTTTCTGTTGTGTAGGCTATAGTGGGTTAGCCTTTAGGGGGTACATTTCACTAGGGTTTCCTACTTGTACTCCAACAACTTTCTAGTTCATCACTTCTTGATTCTGACAGGGGGGGGAGGGGGACGCGCGGGGGTTGGCTGGTACGGTACTCGCTTCAGGGTAGAACTCGAGAACAGGAACGGCAACCCTGAGGCGACAGTGCTCCTTAATCGTAAAGCCTGGCACATCAGGGTAAATCAAGGTTCCTAGAAAATTACCCTACCGCATCAGTGTTACTACCGAAAACCACCCTGATTATCAGGGCATCAGGGTGATTTACCCTGATAAAATGGCCCTGCCCACTTCCTTCCCTACTCCTTCACGTTTCTGATCCTATAGTATCTCGCTTCTCCTATCGGATCCTTTTTCCTCATCAATTTCACATCATCTGTTTCAATAAAAGTTGTATCAGCAGGCAATTATGAAACGAGTCCACCTTTATTCATCAATTTACCATAACCATGAAACCACTAACATCTCACACTACACGCCTTAGGGTACACAAGGATGCACCATAGCAGTTGGCAGAGCGTACACAAGGTTGCACCATAGCAGTTGGCAGAGCGTACACAAGGTTGCACCATAGCAGTTGGCAGAGCGTACACATCGCAAACCAAACCCATCCAGAACATAGCTTAGCACCGCATGGCCTTTCTTCCTGCTCTGACTGACTCACTAAATGTCCCGATTCTCCCACCACATAATGACAGCATCCTATGTCCCCATGTGTGAGCAACCCATCAGAATAAAAGCAGCAGCATCTCACCACACTTCGCTCTGCTGCGACGAGATGGCTGATTTGCACCTCACCACGCTTCGCTCTGCTCTTCCTCCTGCCTAAACGCCAAACCATTCCAAGTTTGTCAAAAGCCTCTCCCCATATCATCCCCTTTATGGAGCGGCGCAGCACGCGTCAGAAGTCCCGCAGCAATTCTCCTCCTGCGCCTCCTCAACAAGCGGCCTTTCCGACGAGGTCTTCCGCCTCTTGGCTCCAAAAAAGAAGAAGCCAATAGTGAGGCCGAGAACGACCGCGATAAAGAGGCCGATGTTGAAGCTCATGACAATGAGCATGATCGCATAGCTGAATATGAGGTTGAGCGCGTATATGCCCGTCACTGCCAGGCGGTCCAGGAGGGATCTCCAATCGACCTTCTTGCTACTGGTGGCGTCGGCGCTGTCAGCGCTGGAAAGGAGAGCGGGAGGGTGGAGGGCGGAGGGAGGGGGTGGAGGGAGGAGGGAGGGGGTGGAGGGAGAGGGATGAAGCCACTTAGCTCGCATCCTGCTCAAGGAGGGATCGCCAGAGGCAGGCCTTCTTGCTGCTGGCGGCGTCGGTGTCATCGGCACTGGAAGGGAGAGGTGAGTGGGAGAGGGAGAGGACGAAGGAGAGGGAGGAGAGAGGGAGGAGAGCGATGAGGGAGAGAAACAGGGAGGGAGAGGGAGGAGGGAGAAGGAGCCACTTAGCTCGTATCCTGCTCGATGAGGGGACCTTGTTGGTGCTGCTGGCGTCGGTGTCGTCAGCATTGGAGAGGGGAGTGGGGGAGGTTGGAGGGCGAAGTCAGGAGGGTGGTACTGAAAGTTGCAAGAGGGAGTGACAGTGAGTATAGCAAGAGGAAGAGTAGTGAGTATAGCAAGAGGGAGTGGTAGTGAGTGTAGCAAGAGGGAGTGGTAGTGAGTGTAGCAAGAGGGAGTGGTAGTGAGTGTAGCAAGAGGGAGTGGTAGTGAGTGTAGCAAGAGGGAGTGGTAGTGAGTGTAGCAAGAGGGAGTGGTAGTGAGTGTAGCAAGAGGGAGTGGTAGTGAGTGTAGCAAGAGGGAGTGGTAGTGAGTGTAGCAAGAGGGAGTGAAGAGAGAGGAGCAAGAGCAGTGAAAAGAGAGTGAAGAGTGCGATGGAGGGCGATACAAGGGGCAAACGGGAGAGGGAGCGGCAATAGCGGCGGCGAGGACGACCACGGTGAAAACAGGCAAGGGGGAGGGATCGATGGATTCAAAAGGAGGGAGGATGAGAGGAGGGAGGTGGAGGGAGGAAGAGCAAGGGAGAAAACCACATCAGCTTCACTTACCCTTGCTCGGCGTCCTTCACGCGGCATCGGCGAGTGGCGGACAGCTTCAGCCGGAACGACGTGAGGAACTCGTGAAGCACGCAGAAGACAACGACGAGGAAGCACGCGAGCAGATAGAAACCCCAACTGCTCGTTTTCCAACTCTCGAACAATATAATCACGTTCGGGCCCCAGTAGAACCACATCTGCATCATCATCATCGACATGCTTCCGCCAGATGTGCTGCTGCTACTGGTGGAAGGAGAATCCGGGTCGTAGCTGGGGCTGGAGGTGTCAGCTCCGCCGGATGCGGAGCCTCCGCCCATGGAGCTCATGTCGTGACCCATGGCGCTCATGTCGTGATCCATGGCTGCTGCTGCCGGTTACGCGGTAACCAGATGAGTTTACCCGAATGCGAAGTGTTGCGAATATGTGTCAGACCAGAACGCAGCAAACGGATTAGCAGGATAGGACAAAGTAGGCCCCTTTGATTGGAAGGCTGGGTGCGGTCGGGAAAGTCCACTATGGTCAATTATGCTTCCCTTTTTATCTCCAATGTTAGCTGCTTCTAGGCGTCTATGCACCCGATCTGTAAGTGACTTCTGTAGAAGTGTGAAGTGGGAATCGGAGAAAAAGGGAGGTCGAGGCAATGTGGACAAACCGTCCCTAGTCGAGCTCCAGGTTGCGTCCCAAGGCAACACGAACGAGGCGCGGGGAGTGAGAAAACGACCAGGAGACAAGTCCACAGACGAGTAGCACTAGCGGAGTCCTTTATATCCTTCGATGACAGCAAGCCAGGAATCTCGAGTAGAATCTCGCTGCTCCTTCCGATCGTTGTTCCAAAAAGCTCCACGCCGAACAAGAAAGCGGATAGAAGCTCTATAGGTAGTCTGTCGCAAAGATCGAGGATTCTCGTTCTGTTTCTCGTGCTCTTTCCTTTCCGCACTGTTTCAGTCCTTTCTGTCGTACAGTGCTGTACGAGCCGAGCCTTTCTCTCACACAATTGGAAAGGGGAGGCTTTTCTGACGAAATGACGTGGCGGCGGGGCAGCTGGCCGATAGCTACTCCAGATACCAGTAGCGGCCTAAAAAATCTCCGAGTGGCGAGCAACGTAAGAACCGTCAGCTGGAGAATGCCAATTGACTGAACGTCGCGAGAAAGAACGGGGGAAAAAGGTTGGTGGAGGGAGGTAAGAAAGGAGCATGAGAAACAGGCTGGAATCAGTGTGGTAGAGTGGAGCCTTCTTGTCAACAGCGGTGCAACTCCCGGTTTCAGTTTTGCTCAGTACAAGTTTACATGTCCTAGAAACACATCTGTACGTGCAGTTCAGAGCAGAGATCCAAAGCAGGATGCCTGCAGAAGCATCGTACGATCGCGGTGCTTCTGTGCCAGAGCCGCACTGTACGGTGGCACGTACGTTCGCCTTGCTCCTGACATGATACCGTACACCTTGTTATCTCCACATCCCGACCAGCATTTGCTTGCGATTGGTGCATTGGTCCCGTCAGCAAATCACTGCTGGTGATTTGTTCACCCAGCTGACTGGGAACAAGCCAATCGCTCGGCATTTCGTGAGAACTTTCCACTATGGGCGACACGGACGGAGAGGGAATGTACATGGACCACAGCCGCGGAAACTGGTGGGCCGTGGTCCGTGGCCAGCAATCCTCACCACGCCGCGGCTCGAGAGTCGGGAGCAGCGGGTTTATCAAATTTGTTCTTGTTCCATGTTGGAGCGCCTACTCTAAACCATTGTCTCAGTTCTGGTTTCATATCCCAAAGTCGCCCTAAGTCAACCAATCCACGAGAACCCACTAGGGGTTAAACGATTTAGCTTCAGATGTGTCCCTTGTGCCGTGCAGTTCTTTGAGACCAATTTTTGAATACGGCTCGACACCTTTTCAGGGTCGTCGTACAGGTACGAGCTATTTGGAGGCTGACCAGTCCAGCTGAAATGGCAACATTTTACTGGGTCAACAGATTCTGTACGTATAAAAGCCACTATAAATTTGTCCAACTGACGAGGGTTTAGGGTCGTGTAAAGTGAACATTCTATCAGTGCCAGAAGACCTTATGTTCAAGTCTTGAAGGGCATCAAGCTGTTGCCATTTTGGGGCTTTTAATTATTAGCCTCAAGCTTTTATCAAGTATCGACAAGAACAAAAAAGAATGGGAAGTTTTATGTTTAGTTACGCATCCATGATTCATCCTTTCATAGCATCAACTTGTTAGCACATGTGGGGACACCGAAACAGGCCATTAGTTGTACATCTCACTTTCAGATCTCCACGGCTTCTGTCTGGTCAACGACCCGCCGCACCCTCACATACACATCTGTGCCGTAGCCTGGAATGCTAACCATCTGGGATTTGTGAAAGTAAACAGGGACATGACGTGAGGGAATTTGAAGCAAACAGCGGAGGCAAGGGAGATTCGATGTATGTCATAATACTACGGTACTATGCAAAAGAATGGAAGCGCGTGTGGGAAATCAGTGCACGATTCAAATACGGTAATTAGCGTAAAGGCAGATAATGACGATGCAATGAACCCAAGAGAATGAACCCAAGACACTGCACCCCAGATTTACATCCTACTCCTCACCTCAATGTTGCCATTTGTACCTCAATAGTGCCCTCACACCTCGGCATCGTGACCCACACCTCAGTACGCCCATGCGCTCTTCAATACCTCCATCCATGCCTCAATACCGCAATGCACACCTCGATATTGCCACCAAGATATTGCGCAAGCAACCGCGAGTAAGGCAGCCCGAACCCCAGGCCCGCCATGGGCGTCCCTTGGGAGTCCACAGGACCACCAGCTGGTGAAGGGGTGGGTAGTTGGTTGGTGGTGGTGGGGTGAGAGGGGGGAGAAGAGGGCTTAGTTGATTTGTTGATCCGGGGCCAGGGGAGTTGATGGTGGGTTGAGGGGCATCGACAAGGCAGCTCGAACCCCACCCGCCATGGGCGTCCCTTGGGAGTCCACAGGGCCACCGGCTGTTTAGGAGCAAGGGGGTTGGTTGGCGGGTTGAGGAGGTCACCTCAATGACAAACAAGCAGCCCGAATCCCAGCCCAGCCCGAATCCCAGCCCAGCCCGAATCCCAAAAGAAGTCCCAGGCCGGCCTGGCCATGAGGCGCCTCACAAACAAGTCCCAGGCCGGCCATAAGCCTTACCTGCGGATCTCAGGGTGCTAGACGTGCTGACGTCACCCTCCACCGAAGAGTACCCATAGCGCCACACCTGGCAATGGATGGGCGGGCGGCAGGTGGGAGGGAGACAGGTTGAAGGGTGGGTGGAGAGGGGTTATACGGCTGGCGTGGTGTGCGTGCAGCAGCGCACAGCCAACATGCAATCTCGAGGCGCCCCAAAAAAACAGCAGCAGCACATGACAGCTGGCATCGATGAGAGTGGGATGGGCGCCACTGACGCCCCCACCCCTGCACTGAGGAGTAGAGATGGGCAGGTGGGAGGCTGGGTTGCAACGAGGGGGTGTAGGGAGGTTATAGGACATGAGCACATGAGAGGACATGGGTGCTCTCATGTGCACTTGAGAGCTGCCATCCATGGGGTGGGTCCGACTGATGGCCCCACCCTCCACAAACGAGTATCCACATGGCCAAGCGGGGTGCACACATCAGGAGCCTGATGGCATGAAAGATGGGTGCGGTCTTGGGATGTCTTACAACCCCCCCCCACCCTCCCCTTCTCCCTCTCCCACCCCCCCTTTACGAATCCCCCCCCCCCCCCCCCCTTCATGCCTCTGTCCCTCTCCTCCCACTTGCTGTCGCCTCACCTTGGCTTGAAGCTTCTCTGGAATGCCGCCTCCCAAATCAGACACCTGGTGAAGGGATGGGTGAAGGGATGGGTGAAGGAATGGGTGAAGGGATGGGTGAAGGGATGGGTGAAGGGATGGGTGAAGGGATGGGTGAAGGGATGGGTGAAGGGATGGGTGAAGGGATGGGCGAAGGGATGGGTGATGGGATGGGTGAAGGGATGGGCGAAGGGATGGGTGAAGGGATGGGTGAAGGGATGGGTGATGGGATGGGTGAAGGGATGGGCGAAGGGATGGGTGAAGGGATGGGTGATGGGATGGGTGAAGGGATGGGCGAAGGGATGGGTGAAGGGATGGGTGATGGGATGGGTGATGGGATGGGTGATGAGATGGGTGAAGGGATGGGTGATGGGATGGGTGAAGGGATGGGTGAAGGGATGGTTGATGGGATGGGTGATGGGATGGATGATGGGATGGGTGATGGGATGGGCAATGGAGGAGGGGGAAAGAACGGGTGCACTTGGTTCCAGCAAATATGCTGGAGGGAGGGGTGCATAGATGGATGGATGGATGGATGGATGGATGGATGGATGGATGGATGGATGGATGGATGGATGGATGGATGGATGGATGGATGGATGGATGGATGGATGGATGGATGGATGGATGGATGGATGGATGGATGGATGGATGGATGGATGGATGGATGGATGGATAGAATGATGGGTCAAACAGCTGTGGCTTCACGCAGCAGCCTGTAGCCATACTTAAGGGCAAATTGGACTGAATCAGAACACAACACCGCTCTGACAACATTTGGAGGGTTGATTGGAACAGAAAACCGCTCATACAAGTAGTCACCTTGATTGTGACTAGGTTGGATTCTTGACTGGGGCTCTGGGGTTGGGGGGATGCATTGGCCCACAAAGAAACACAAAACTGCTTTTACAGCAAACGGGGGGCACGGACTGACCTTGATCGTGACTTCGTTTGAGCCGGAGCAGACAGTGATTATAACGGGGGGGAACTTGGCTGAAGAGGAGGGCATCGAGTCCCCTGATTGGTCTGCGTGATGCTCCACTACTGCTCGGGACGCGTTCTGATTGGATCGACGGGTGTGGAAGGACGAAAGAGGCACGTGGGGGATGCGAGGTGCGAGTCCTCTGATTGGTCTGTGTGATGCTCCACACTTGCTCCGGACCCGTCCTTATGGTGCCCAACAAAATTCAGCTTTACCCGACTCAAAATACGAGGATCCTTATAACGAGTACCAACTGCTTCACACTCTGAGGATCTCAAAGAGCTTGTAGTGGGGATGCGAGGGGGTATATGCGAAGGAGGCAAGACACACTTCATAGGGATTACAACCAGCCCTCTCTTGAGAATTCCCAAGAGCTTGCAGTGCAGATGCGAGGGGGTGTAGACGACCGAGGTATTGAGGACCCTGTGAGCATGAACTCAGGACAGAAACTACAGAGCTTTAACTGAGTACAGACAGGGCTCAACCTGAGAATCTCAAAGAGCATGTGATGCAGATGTGAGGGGAGATGTAAGCAAAAGAGGCGTTGAGATCGCCTGTGAGCACGAACTCAGGACAGCAGCCAAAGAGCTAACCAAGGCAAGGGGTACAGAACAGACTCACCTTGAGAATCTCAAACAGCATGTAATGCAGGTGTGAAGGGATGTAGGCAAATGAGGTGTTGAGATCCCCTGTGAGCACGAACTCAGGGCAGCAGCCGAACGTCCTCGTGCACATGTCTGTCGCCTCCTCCACTGCGTCTTCAACGACCTCCCGTGCTGACATCTGAGGATGATGAGGTGACGAGGAGAGATTGCAGTGGGAGGGGAAAGGTAAAGACTCAAGGAAAGGGCAGCAGCCGAACGTCCTCGTGCACATGTCAGTGGCCTCCTCCACTGCATCGTCCACCACCTCCCGCGCTGACATCTGATAATGGCGAAGGGGAAAGAAGATGAGAACTGGGAGTGGGAAGGGGAACAGTGAACAGTCAGGGAAAGGGCAGCAGCCGAACGTCCTCGTACACATGTCAGTTGCCTCCTCCACTGCGTCTTCAACGACCTCCCGTGCTGACATCTACAGACCATCACGATGATGACGAGAGATGGGAGTGGGAAGGGGAATGATACAGAAGTGAAGGGAAAGGCGGCAGCCAAACGTCCTTGTGCACGTCTGTCGCCGCCTCCTCCACTGCATCGTCCACCACCTCCCGCGCTGACATCTGAAGATGGTGATGAGGAGGAGACGGGAGTAGGACGAGGAAGGGTACTGATTCAAGGAAGTGTTTTGAGTCGACTCAAAACACAGAAGGGTACTGATTCAAGGAAAAGGCAGCAGCCAAACGCTCGAGTGCACACATCCAGTGCATCTGGAACCCATGCCGACATTTTTGAGGCGCCTAAAAAATCCAGTGCATCTGAACTGAAACCCATGCCGACAACTGAAGGTGACTTTTGAGTCGACTCAAAAGTCACCTCGAGTACACACATCCAGTGCATCTGAAACTCGATGCATTGGGTTTCGAAGCTTCGAAGCATCTGAAACCCATGCCGACAACTGAAGGCTTCAAAGCTTAGCGTTCCTTGCCGTCAAGTCAATTCAAGAGTCACCCCGCAAGCTTACAACCTCAGGGAGAAGGGATATTGCGACTTTCTAAAACCCCTTCACCAATCATGGTCACAGCTGAAGGTAAAGTTGAGAGACGGGTCACATGAGTGATAGGTACAAACGAAGGGTGAGCCGCAACAAGCACACTCACTCACGTTGGTGCAGATAACCCCGATATACCCTGGTCTCTTCTGCTGCAATGCCATATGCTGTTCTGCCACCAACACTCACTGAACTTCTGTGCAGAAACAGTGTGGGTCAACACAAGCCCCCCCACTCACTCACGTTAGTGCAGATGACACCGATATACCCTGGTTTCTTCTGCTGCAGGGCGATGTGCTGCTCTGCCACCACCCTCCCTCGGAGTGCGTTCTGTTTCCTACTCCAAATCCACTCAAGAGAGGCACACACACTTCTCACTCACGTTGGTGCAGATGACCCCGATGTACCCTGGCCTCTTCTGCTGAAGGGCGATGTGCTGCTCTGCCACCACCCTGCCTCAGATTGAGTTTTTTTTCCTACTCCAAATCCACTCAAGAGAGGCACAAGCACTTCCCACTCACGTTGGTGCAGATAACACCGATGTACCCTGGTCTCTTCTGCTGCAGTGCAATATGCTGCTCTGCCACCACCCTTCTGCTGATACGAGACCGCAACCTGCCAGGACAGACACAAAGGAAGACAGTCTATAAACACAGCAATCAACATGTACAAGCTACACTGCATCATGCAAGAACAGCAAAGTTCCATCTATATACCATGTAAATGAGCATCCCAGCCCTACGGCGTGCAGTTGCCTCTGGACGATCGAGAATATGATCATATCATATCATATCAGATCCGATCCGATCAAGGGCACGCACATGTTATCAAGGAAGCTGTCGAGGTTGAGCTCTCGCCCCACCAGCTGCCGGTTGGCGCACTCCCGCACCCCTCGGGCCAGCACGCCTATGAGGGGCTTGGGGCCTGCCTATGAGTTTCTTGGCGCTCTGTGCTCTCTCAGTCTACCTGACCTGGCTGCCTGGCTGCCTGGCTCACATGTTATCAAGGAAGCTGTCGAGATTGAGTTCTCGCCCCACCAGTGGCCGGATGGAGCACTCCCTCACACCACGTGCCAGCACGCCTATAAGGGGTGTGTGCTCTTCCACCAGCTGTGCAGGTGAGCGCGCAGGGGAGAGGGAGAGAGGGAAGCATTGAGTGGGACAGGGGGATGGGAGGTAAGGGGCTGGATGGAGCACTCCCTCACCCCGCGGACTAGCTGATGAATTGAGTGATGAGGAAAAGGGGAAAGGTTGTGAACGGTAGAAGAGAAGGCTCTCTCACCCCGCCCGTGGGCCAACACACTCAAAATCGCCTATCACCCATCATCACCCATTACTCACCAGCGCCAGCAGCTCGGTGAACTTATCATTGTCCTCATGCGTCACAGGATACATTGACATGCAAACACCCCCTTCCATCACCCATCAACCATCTGCCACCACCCTCCACCACTCTCCACCCATCTCTCACCAGTGCCAGCAGCTCCGTGAACTTCTCATTGTCCTCATGCGTCCGCACCTCAGGAAACGCAACCAGCAGGTCCAGCGCTCTGCGGTACGAGTCATAGACCTGGAGAGAGGGGGGTACGAGGAGAGGGGAGAGAGGAGAGGAGATAGATGGGGGGAGGAAAAGAGACGAGAAAATCAGTTCTTGTGTGTCCCTACCCCAGGGAATACAACCAGCAGGTCCAGCGCCCTGCGGTACGAGTCATAGACCTGAGAGGGGGGTATGAGGAGAGAGGAGGAGAAGAGGAGGCACATGAGGGGAAGAGACGGGAAAATCAGTTCTTGTGCGTCCCCACCCCAGGGAATGCAACCAGCAGGTCTAGCGCCCTGAAGTAAGAGTCATAGACCTGAGAGGGGAATATGCGGAGAGGGGTGAGAGGAGAGGAGGCAGATGAGGGGAGAAAAACGGACAAGTCAGGACAATGAGGCGGTTGGCCACGCTGACGTGGCATCTACAAAATGATGACGTGGCACCTGCTTGATGTGTGGGTTGGTGACGACGATGTAAGGCAGGAATTGAAGATCCATGAGGCGCTTGGCCAGCCGGATGGGCAGCTCGCGGTGCACAAACCTGGAGAATGACAGCCGAAAACAAACAGACAAACAAACAAACAAATAAAACACATAAAAAAAAACAAAAACAAACAAAAAACAGCAAAAGGAGCACTTATTGCTTGGCCAGGGACGGATAGGCAAAGGGACGGTCCTTGCATGACAGGGGGGCTAGCAGCTCACGGTGCACAGACATGGAGAAAGAAGGGAAACGGGCGAAATAACACTGATTACTTATCCAGTGGGGGAGGGTGGTTGTGTGGAGGGAGGAGGAGTGTTACCTGGCCTGGCGGAGGAGATAGGAGGGGTCTTTGAGAACCTGCTCTCCGAACTGCATCATGTGCTGCATCGTCGTCGCTGTCATCGGCAGCGCCGCGTATTTCTCCACCGTCACGTCGTAAAACGACGCTTTGTTAAACGCCGACGCTTTGTTCTGCGACCAGCCTCCCGGACCTCGCGGGTACGGCAGGGAGAAACGCCGAATTCCTGAAACAGCTGCTGCTGCTGGCCTTGGTGCGGCTGCTGCCGGTACCCCCAAGGCTTGACGTTGTTGGTACTGTCGAGATTGGTAGAAGGGGTGGTGGCTGTACTTCTGTTGCTGATATGGATCGTCTTGATGGTACATACAATGCCCACGCGACCCTGCGAAGCATTTGATAACGGAATCGGCAACAACCGAGAATGACCGAGTAGGCGGATTCGCGACGATAGTTTTCGAGCCAAGACCCTCTCCCGCCAATCCTACTGGCTCACGTGTAGGCTTCTTAAACGGCGGTGTTCCGAATTCATGGGTTTCGCCTCTCGGCTCGCGGTCCGCTGGTCCAGCTTCGTGAATTATTTCGGAAACAAGAGTGGCCATGCCAGCTGTGGTTGCATCACGTAGCGCAGATAGTGCCAGTCTTTGATCGCGATACGTGATTGTTCTAGGACCCCTCGCATTTCGTTGGTCGTCCTGTGCTGTTGTCGCGGAGATCGATGATACGTGGGTGAGAGCGTGGGACAGCAGTGGGTAAGCGAGGCATCTCAGAATGTCAATGACAGGCTTCGACGCGAGTGGTAGCGAGCTCCGCGAAAGACTGTGCAACGCCATGGCACGAGTCACAGTAATAAACCGTTCGAACAATGCCTGATCGCCACTAAAATTCTAGCTATGCCAGAAGCAGCTTACGTAGTTGTGAGCTAATGAGGATGGTCACAGACAAAGATCTCTCATTGCGAGTCAAATAACCTGTCCATTCGACAATGGTCTACTCGTCATTACATAGTGATATGAGCTCTCATAGAATCATGTGCTTGACGTTTAGCACGCACATGTTATCTCACGCACAGTTCCTCGGCGATTTAGGAGGAATTTGGCATGGGACTATTTTTGCCGCCCTCTGAAACGTTGCTGGCAGGGAAGTAGCAGCCTTAGTAGGCTAGGAAAACGAGGATAGAGTGCTCTCTTGAGTTCTCTGGAAATTGCACTACCGTATGACTTCACAAATTTCACAGTACAATTTTATAGAGCTATTCAAATATCGAGTCGCACACCCAAGTCGCGACTCTCTCTGAATTTCTCAATGGTAACCCAACCCCTTTGAAATGAACCTGCCGTGAAATTCAGAGAATTATTGCGGTACGGGATTGGACGGCGAACTTGGTTACGGGGCTGTAATTTCGTCGGTGTTGTTGGCGAAGTCGGCGAGCGGTCGGAACTTCGGTGTTCTGCGTTTCGTGATTTTCGCGCGAGGGTTTGTGTTGGGCTGCGCGTCAGGACCTGGTCGCCCAGCTGCAGGTTGAGGCGTTTGACCAATACGAACAGTTGGTGAGGTGGCGCTTGACTTCTGCCCACCTGCACTGTACTTGGCAGCATTCGGCTGCCACACTGTTACATTACTTCCCCCTCCAAGTGGCGCCGTCCATGGCGCCAAACCGTGGCTGGTCAAATACCGATTCACAGCAGTTGCGGCACGGTCAAGGTGACTCTCTGGTTCCCATGAGTCGTCACTAGTGGGTTGGTCCTTCCAATGAACAAAAAACTCGCGACCATGAGGTGTGTCGCGATGTGCAGCGATAGATGCAACCTCAAACAGGCCGGGGCTGCCTTCGAACATCGGTGGCAGTTGGCGTGTGGCTGGACGGTCGTGTGAAGGTGCACGGAAAGGGCGGAGGCGCTGGACATGGAAGACGGGGTGAATCTTCATATAGCTGGGTAGTTGGAGACGGTAGGTGACTGGTGAGAGGACTCGGGTGATGGTGAACGGGCCAATAAAGTGAGGGGCGAGTTTTCTGGTTGTGCCTTTGCGTATGAGAGGTAGGTGGTCAGTGGAGAGTAACACTTGATCGCTAACCTTGAAGCGTATATATTTGCGGTGGGAGTTGGCATAGTGGGTCTGTTTGGCTTGAGCTTTAAGGATGGAGGTGCGAGCAGCAACAATGGCTGATTCGAATGAGGTGAGGAGCTCAAAGGCTGCTGGTGCGTGGGAGAGGTGGGGGGGTGGGGTCGTGGGGAGGCGGGGGTGCTGTCCGGTTGCGAGGTAGAAGGGTGGCTGGCCGGTGGAAAGGTGGGGTGTGCTGTTGTATGCGAGTTCGATGGCGGTGAGGTGGAGATCCCAATCATTTTGGCGAGCAGTAACTTGTGCACAGAGGGAGTCTTCAAGCGTGCGGTTCATCCGTTCGGTTTGTCCGTCCGTTTCAGGGTGATACGCGGTAGAAAACTTCAGCCGGGTTCCGTGAAGCTTGAAGAGGCTCTGTCAAAAGTTACTCAAGAAGCGGGGGTCACGGTCTGAAATGATGGCGGATGGGAGACCATGTAGGCGGACTATGTGATCGAAGAAGAGTCGGGTTGTTTCGGGTGCGGTGACGGTTGTGTGGGTAGGAATGAAATGGCTCATTTTGGAGAGTCGGTCGGCGACGACTAGGATACCGTTGTAGCTGCGGGGTGTGCGGGGCAGATCCATGATGAAGTCCATGGTGACTTCATCCCACACTTTGGTAGGTGGAGGGATGGGCTGAAGGAGTCCGTAGTGTTTGGTGGTGCGTGCTTTGAGTTGTTGGCAGGTGCGGCAGGTGCGTATGAAGTCACGCACATCAGCATGCATGCGTGGCCAATGGTAGTCGTTGGAGAGGCATGCGTAGGTCTTCTCAACACCAAAGTGGCTGCCGGTAACGGTGTCGTGGTATTCGGAGAGTAGCAGCTGTCGTAAGGAGCGATCTGCAGGGACACAAATGGTCTTGGTGACGGTGTTGTACCAAAATGGGTCTTCAAATGAGTAGGCCGGGTCCTCGGGTGCTTGCTTGACAAAAAACAGGTCACGTTTGTAGGCGCGCTGAAATTTCGTGATGAAGGTATCATCCCAAGTGATGGTGCTGATTCCATGGAGTTGCAAGGGTGGGTTCGGAGTGTGAGGTGGAGGTGATGAGGTGGGGCTGGTTGGGGAGTGGTGGGGCTGGTTGGTGGTTGGTTTGGGCTGGTCGGTGGGTGGTGGGGCTGGTGGTGCTGGTTGGGACAAGATGTCGGATGGGTTGAGTTTCCGGGTCGGTAGATAATCTGAAGTGACGGTACGGACTGCTCCAAAAACTCAGCCCATCGGGCTTGGCGGCGGCTGAGCACGGGCTGTGTTTTCAAGTGTTGAAGAGGGCGGTGCACACTGTTCCACCACACCGAGCTCCATGGGAGAAGGACCGTTGGTGCGGTAGGTAGGTCCAGCAGTGGTTTGCTGCCCGGTTCGTCCTTGGAATCGCTGGTATGCTGCAAAGTTGATGGTGTCAAAACGCTCAGCGACACGAATCATCTCATCCAACGTCGTAGCGCCGGGGAGTTCGACCTCGGTGCGGATTTTCGGCTTCAGCCCACGCTTGAATTTGTCCATCTGTTCAGCAGCAGGGATGTCAGGGATCTCAAGCACGAGCTCGCGGAAGTGGTTGATGTACTCAGCGACCGAGCGATGTTGGCGTAATTCAGCGAGGTTGTCACGAGCGCGTTCGATGGAGTTGACCGGCTCGAAGTTCATTAATAGCGATGCAGAAAACTCTTCCCAAGTTGAAATCGTAGCATGGAAACTCTGCCACCAAGTAGCAGCTGCACCCCTCAGCATCATGCCGGCGTGCCGAGCCCACTCTGCCCGGTTTACATGACAAAGGGAGAGGTATTCCTCCACTTGGAAAAGCCACCGTCGCACCGGTAAGTGACGTTTTCCAGGGATGAACGGCTCAGGTTCGGGTGCTTAGGGTCGTGCAGAAACCACAGCAGGTGCTGGCGTCGGCACCTGTGTGCCCAGGAGTCCGCGTTCCTGGAGTTCGCCGAGGATCCGGTCCCGCACCTCGCGTTCAATTTCTCGGCGCATATTCGCCACAAATTCGTTCCAGAGTTCCGGCGTCATATCTGACGGTCTTAGACTCGGTCGTAGTGAGTACGTGACTTAGGAGTCACGAAAGTAGCAGTAGCGGGCTTCAAACTGAATCCCAAAGTTGAAGAAACAGGTTGCTTTCCAACCCAGGTTGCAAACAGAAAGTTTCACTATGAAAATTTGATACAAAGAGGAAAACAGAACATGATATTTAAGCAATCCGAAATCCGAATTTCAAAGGGCGCCTCGTGTAACGCGCCTCGTCGCGAATCCGAATTTCGTAACAGTAACCGACGTTGAAAACCGAAATTCAAACTGAACCGTCGTTGAAACCGACTTTCTTCAACTCCACCGAACACTGCCTCCGGAATGGTTGGGAAAATTTCTGGCGGTTGAGAACGTTCTTCCCTCTCTCTCTCCTGAAACCCTCGTTTTCACCAGCCGCTCCTCACGATCTTCTCAGCTAGCTCCTCCCACCGTCAGAACTCATTGTCCAGCCTATTCTCTCCCACCGCCATAGGTAAGGCAATTTCCAAGTGTCATGTTCTGTCGTTTTCACGCTCTAGAGTCGGTGCAGCGGCTAACCACCTCTAACAATCTCCCCTGTGGTTTGCTGCTGCCAACCCTAGATCTGAAAAAATCTTAATCACTGTTCCTCCACCTTGCTCCCCTGGAAGTTCTGCAGGGTACGCATCCCGACGAGATGCTTGCAGCACTCGAAATTAGCCTTCGGAAGGACCTTAATAAGGAAGTCGGCTGCTTGATCTTCTGTCCGTACGAATTCAAAGGTAAATGCCTTTTTCTCCAGCTGTTCACGCACCCAATGATACTTGATGTCCATGTGCTTGGTACGTCCGTGCCAGTTGTCATTTTTCGCCAATGCTATGGCTGATTTGCTGTCCGATCTGATGGTAGTTGGTCCTTCAATGCGTATCCCCATTTCTTGCAGTAAACGCCGAAGCCACACTCCTTCTTGACATGCGTAGAATAACGCCATGTATTCCGCTTCCGCGCTTGAGAGTGCCATGTCGTT